CAAAGAAAACACTTCATCCAATGTATATCGTCTTTGTATTTATAGCCGATTTATGAATCACAAGTACAGCATATCGCTAAACAACTACCAAGAAATACAAAGCTTCAGATTGGAAAAAAATAACAAATATAAATACCTAGTTAGTCTACGATTATTTACAAGTAATGCATAAATGTACACATTAAGGAAAATGTATCAGTAGTTTAAAAACCGTTTTTTCATTGCTTTAAGCTCCGGATTCCTGCTGTCTCCCATATAAAACCAGCTACTTGGCGGCTCTAAGCGTTAAAAGGAAATGACGGATTAAAATACACAAACAGGAACCGGATATTAGAAGGTACTTGCTACTAACGTAAATAAGTCTCATAAATCATAACATCCCTGATCAACAATTATAAATACATTAGTGTCTATCAATCAGAAAACGAGAATTTTAGAGAAAAATGTAAAAGTAAAAGGTTCGAATCACATATTTTTTAACTCAAGTAGGTCTTCAGCCGAACGATGCAAATTCTATGGTAACAACGGCTCACAGTATTAATATTTAAAAAACTGAGTCCAAAAACTCCGGTTTTTTAAGTCATGTCTTTGTACGATGCAATTTCGATCGTACACGCCTCATAATAATTAATTCAAAACACCCATTACATGCCTGACGACCTACCAAACTCTAATGTCCCCTACCGTATTACGTAAGATATACATATTTGCGTCTAAGAATTTTAAACAGTGCATCTATTACAAATCTATTGGAACAAATATATGAATATTCACTGAATATTATATCCGGTAAACCTTACATCAGTTTTGGCTTGGGTCAATTTTTTGCCAACACCAAGTTACTTTCGTTCTGCCTCTTCTTGATTTGCTCCTTTTTGTTCAACTGCTTCCACGTGTCTCCTAGGGCTTTGGCAAAATGATCGTCCACACTTAAAGCTGTATCGTCCATGAATTCTATCACATTGGTTGTAGCCTAAAAAATACACTTTTTTGTCATTTTCTGCCTTTGCATTCTAGTACGGAAATCTTTACCTGTTGTGGAAGTTTTGCTGAATGCTTCGCTTCTGTCACTGGATTAGTGTTCTGGAAGATTGCATGATAGTCCTGCCCTAGGGATCTCCGAAAGTGCTCATCAATCACTGTATCGCACATGGAAATTCCTAAACAAAAAAAATCTCAGTTTCTCTGCACAGTAGATCGACAAACGATTCGTAAATTCCAGGGATGATTTAGGTCGATTTGCTTGCAAAATAGTTCCTAAAAGAAGTAGAGCTTGCTCATTGAAAATGGACCTTTGACATGGTTTTTAACAGCCCAAATCTCCAGCAAAGTTAAACTTTTGGGGAAACATAGAATAAAGCTTGCTCTGTACATTGGCGTCAAAAGCCCTCCTAAATCTCAACTGGTTTGCTCATAAGGATTTTTTAAAGAACGGGTGCACTTTAGTCGCCAAAAACATCGCAAATCTGACTTTGGGAAATTCAAAAAATTCAGCCCAAATCTCCAGCAGAATTAAACTTTTGAGGAAACATAGAATAAAGCTTGCTCTATGGATTGGCGTCAAAAGCTCTCCTAAATGTCAAACGATTTGCTAATAACGATTTTTTAAAGAACGGGTGCACTTTGGTCGCCAAAAACATCGCAAATCTCACTTTGAGAAATTCAAAAAATTCAGCCCAAGTCTCCAGCAAAATTAAACTTTTGAGGCAACATAGAATAAAGCTTCCTCTATCCATTGGCGTCAAAAGCCCTCCTAAATCTCCACTGCTTTGCTCATAAGGATTTTTTAAAGAACGGGTGCACTTTAGTCTCCAAAAACATCGCAAATCTCTCTTTGAGAAATTCAAAAAATTCAGCCCAAATCTCCAGCAAAATTAAACTTTTGAGGAAACATAGAATAACGCTTCCTCTATCCATTGGCGTCAAAAGCCCTCCTAAATCTCAACTGCTTTGCTCATAAGGATTTTTTAAAGAACGGGTGCACTTTAGTCGCCAAAAACATCGCAAATCTGACTTTGAGAAATTCCAAAAATTCAGCCCAAATCTCCAGCAAAATCAAACTTTTGAGGCAACATAGAATAAAGCTTGCTCTATACATTGGCGTCAAAAGCCCTCCTAAATCTCCACTGCTTTGCTCATAAGGATTTTTTAAAGAACGGGTGCACTTTGGTCTCCAAAAACATCGCAAATCTGACTGAGAAATTAAAAAAATTCAGCCCAAATCTCCAGCAAAATCAAACTTTTGAGGCAACATAGAATAAAGCTTCCTCTATCCATTGGCGCCAAAAGCCCTCCTAAATCTCCACTGTTTTGCTCATAAGGATTTTTTAAAGAACTGGTGCACTTTAGTCGCCAAAAACATCGCAAATCTGACTTTGAGAAATTCAGAAAATTCAGCCCAAATCTCCAGCAAAATCAAACTTTTGAGGAAACATAGAATAAAGCTTGCTCTATGGATTGGCGTCAAAAGCTCTCCTAAATGTCAAACGATTTGCTAATAACGATTTTTTAAAGAACGGGTGCACTTTAGTCGCCAAAAACATCGCAAATCTGACTTTGAGAAATTCAAAAAATTCAGCCCAAATCTCCAGCAAAATTAAACTTTCGAGGAAACATAGAATAAAGCTTGCTCTATACATTGGCGTCAAAAGCCCTCCTAAATCTCCACTGTTTTGCTCATAAGGATTTTTTAAAGAACTGGTGCACTTTAGTCTCCAAAAACATCGCAAATCTCACTTTGAAAAATTCAAAAAATTCAGCCCAAATCTCCAGCAAAATTAAACTTTTGAGGMAACATAGAATAAAGCTTSCTCTATCCATTGGCGTCAAAAGCCCTCCTAAATCTCCACTGCTTTGCTCATAAGGATTTTTTAAAGAACGGGTGCACTTTAGTCRCCAAAAACATCGCAAATCTSWCTTTGAGAAATTCAAAAAATTCAGCCCAAATCTCMAGCAAARTTAAACTTTYGAGGAAACATAGAATAAAGCTTSCTCTATCCATTGGCGTCAAAAGCCCTCCTAAATCTCAACTGCTTTGCTCATAAGGATTTTTTAAAGCAAAAACAACAAACAATTCTTGCGACTTAAATGCAATGTATTTTAAATTCGACTGGCTGAGAGCCTGCCATCCAACAACACCATCTGATGACTGTGTAAGAACATGAAAGTTATGATTATACTGGCACGATATCACGATCTTTGAAAACGGCATTGCAATCCTCCCGTTTTATCGCTATTTGCCCAAGAAACATGGCATATCGACCGAATGTCTATCAATATTTGCACAACGAGCGGACCAAAGCAGTTTGCGTGATAAGAACTAACAATTTCCCCAGCAAATAATCAGACATGCTCGATTGTTTGGCTACAATTTAAACTGTACCTGATGGTATCCTGTCCCTGTTCTTAGGTAGTGATGGTGCTGAAGATGGATTCTTCTTAGGCGTTCCGAAACTCGATCGGTACCCCGGGTTGCTGATTGTTTGAGCGTAGGATGGGGGCTCTCCTCTTTGTTTCACTGTCATATCAAGTGGCGTGTCGCCCCCAGGAGGAATTAGATCTACTTCTCTCTTCACTTTGATCACTGCAATTGCAAGAAAATGCTTGTAGAAGTTACCACCTAGCGCACATCAATCCACTCAAATTATTAAGTGCGAAGTAATTTAATTAGTTGATCATTGTGGAAATTTTCGGAACGGTCGTTATGCGTCCAAAGAATTCAATAAATTGATTAATTGAAGTAATTGTACACGCGCCATAAAACAGAGGAATGTATTCGCAATAAACGTCTTAACTTTATCTATCAACTGAAATAAACTAAAATTTCTACAAATAATTAAGCATTTTAAGTCCCCGCCGAATTATCGGTAGCGATCATGAAATTTTTCACTTGCAACAAATCACTGATAATCAACGAAATAACTCACGATTGGAATGGCTTAACGGACTGTTTCCATTGGAAATACTGGCCTCAGGGCTGGAAGGTTCGACACCAAGGGTTTCAGGAACTTTGGGATCCGATTTTCGGGAATATTCGGGAAGACGCCTTTTATCCCTCTTGCACTTTGTTGTCTGTTTGTGTAGCTGTTTAGTGGAATCATCTGAAAATGAACCCAACACTAGAGTCATGGCAATTCACAGCAAAACACATTTTTCGGGCCTCGTCTCCTAACAGGAGAAATAGTTCCTTTATTTGTCTAATCGACCGTAAATGAATATTGAATCCTTCTTCAGTCGAGCGCTTTATTTTAAAAATACCTTTATCCAACCAGGGCTGCCAAAAGGCAGGGCCATTAATATTCTGGGCCCATCTCTCCTTTGCTCGCATTATTAAGGATAACTCCAGTAGTTCTTTGACGAAATATGGCACTTCCATTATCTATTCTGCACCTTTAACCGAACGAAATGTTCCATGCAACCCTTCGCGTGTGGATTGTATGATTATTACACAAGAATCAAAGGCACTTTCACACTCATCTATTAACACCCTTCAGGGATTGTATGGTTGTAACTCCGAGAAAATAGTAACTCCCCGGTTTCATTCATAAGCTCTTAGCAGGTAGAGCGGTCGAGGTATAACTAATTAGTTTTTTCAGTCGACTGAACTAGCCGCCTTTGTAGTCCATGGATATAAGGGTGCAATTTGCTTATTCAGGCGTTTTTGACCGGTTCCAAGCATTTTTTTTTGTTTTTACTTCGAAGCACGAGATTCCTCCTCGGTTCGATTTAATCTTACAACACGTCGTTTCGAAGATAGATCGGTTTTACCAGGTACCGTTGAAATGTTGAAATAGCCCGGCATTGTTGCTTTGGTACTATTCAGGCTAACTTGGAGTTTCCAGAAGTCTCAATGTGTAATAAAATCGGGTTTTTTTATCATCGGGAACCCATTGATCAGTTTCCATTAAGTACCTGAATATTCCGCATTTTTTGTAGTATCTATCGGAACGCGAACTCTACCATCAACGTCTTACTTACACCATTCTTTGAACAATGTGATTGAAAAACGACGCCAATTTTCCGTTTCTTCAACTAGACGCTTTGTGAAGAAATCCATTGGCGTCGTTTCTTTGCCGGTTGCAATAATTTCATTGTTTCTTGCTTTATTCGCTTGACTTCCCGTGTGTATCTACGAGATTTGCATGCTTGTTTGCCACAATGTTCCTGTTTTTCCCCCAATTCATACATGGTTCATGCTTTTACGAATAAAATAATAAAAGTCCGACTCTTTTTTCTGCATATTCTTGTGATTGATGTGAAAGTTTCTTGGGATCAGGAGCCCTCGTATATGTTTCAAGGGTCAATTAAGAGGAACATTTGACGTAAGGAAAGAAGAATGTGGATTTATACACTATGTATCAACCACAAAATTGATTGTGAGATTGGCTATTAAAGAATGGGTGCTTTAATGAAGTAGTAAAGACACAAGGTCGACTGTTTTCGGATGGTCCAGTATTGGCAGCAAGTGAATATTTTACGCTTTTAATCCGCAGCAAATTTTGCGTTTAATTAACGTGATCAATTAAGCCAGCAGAACATTTCCGTTAAGACTGGGCAAAAACGCGATGTCCCAGCGGCACTTAGCATTCGAAATGAACACATTTGATGGAATCCGCGTTTTAAAATTCATAAGGCCATTATAATTCACCCTTGGGCCAGTTTTTCCATTGCAAATTGCAACTGAGCACAAAAATTCATTCATCCATATTAAAGCACGCTCTGTCCCCGTTTATATCCCTGGTAATAGTTATTTATACCATTTTAGGAAAAACAACACTAAACCATATTAATTATGAGAAACACACTGTTTCGATTTGACTTCAATTGACCAATTCTCGGTAAATGTTTTA